TGGAGAAGCCATTGGGTCCCCTGAGTCTCTATTCTTGGAGTACCTCTCCAGGGCATGGCTCCCCCTTTCTTTTTTTCCTCCACACTTCCTATTCACCAGTCCCACCCCAGAGGCCTCCCCAGCTCTTCAGGGTGGCCAGCCTGAGAAACTGATGCCACTGGGTACACAGACTCCACCTCCACCATCTATCTCTCCTTGCAGCATTTCCCTCAAGGTATCCGTCATCTAGATGAGGAGTCAGGAAAATTTATACAGAGGACCATGTGGCAAATATTTTAGACTTTGGGGACTGTAGAACCCTCCTATAACTGCTCAGCTCTGCCACTGTCACACAGAAGAAATCACGCACAATACGTAAATGAATGAGTATGCCCGAGTTTCAATAGAACTTTTTACACAATTGAAATTTCAAGGGAACCAGCAGTTAGCGTAATGGCTATGTCGCTGGACTCCCACGTAGTCGACCGTGGTTCGCGTCCCGGACCCGGTGGCTTAAAACTCACGCCGGGCGCGTGTGCGTACGTGCCCAAGATCCCGAGAGGAGAATGGAGGAGAAGGGATTGCGGCGTGACCCCCCCCCCTGGGGGGTGATTTCTCGCTTTCTGTCTCTATGTCTCTGTCTGTCTGGCGAGCGCACGCGCCCTATAGCGAAAAAAAACCTCTCAAAAAAAAAAAAAAAAGAAAAAGAAATTTCAATTGTATTCATTTCCCCATGTTTCAAAATATTTTTCTGATGATGATGATGATTATTACTTACCATTTAAAAACACAAAGACAATTTTTTGGCTTGCAGACCATAAAAAAAAAAAAAAAAACCAGGCAGATGTGGTCCTCAGGCCATAGCTTGCTAACTCCTAGTTACATCAGTGAGCCAATTTTGTCCTCCAAGAAACATGTGGCAATGTCTAGAGGCATTTTTTATTGTCATAATGAAAGAGGTGTTACCCAAAGGGTAGAGGCCAGGAACACCGCTAAATCCCACAATGCACAAGCCAGCTTCCACTCCACCTCTACAAAGACTTATCAGTTAGACATGTCAATGCTACTGAGATTGTAAACTCTGATCTAGATACAGCATTCCTGTGGAAAACTGAGAGCCCTCCCCACCAAATTCGCATAAGCTACATAGTTATTAAGGCCTTACGTAAATTACCCTCATTATAAAGTCTCATCAGAACTCCTAACACCCTGTTGTACACAGGTACTTTAAAAAGACTGTGGGAATCAAGGGCCAGTCAGGGCTGTAGTGGTAAAGGTAGCTAGATCTTCCATAGTCAACCACATAGTTCGAGTCCCAGACCACACAGCTTGAAAAACACACCAGGTGGGTGTTTATGCATTCCCAAAATCCTGAGATGAGAATGGAGGAGAAGGGGTTGCAACTGTGGCATTGCCATCCCCCCCAGGGAGTGATTTCTTTCTTTCTTTCTTTCTTTCTTTCTTTCTTTCTTTCTTTCTTTCTCTCTCTCTCTCTCTCTCTCTCTCTCTCTCTCTCTCTCTCTCCCTCCCCCTCACTGCAAACAATTTTGCCTCTACCTCAACACTCCACCTTTGATCATCTCTAAGTATCAATAATGAACACTTCCTTATCTTGACCTCAGACCTAACACCCTCATTTTCTACCCATTTGTTGGTTATATCTATTGTACCAAAGCACATGCACACAAGTGTGCATGCATACACACCCAACTGCTCATGTACTCCCACATACCTCAATTTTGTCTTTCCTCCTAAGATAGTCTTCCAAAGATCTGACCTCAAGTAATTGCTTTTCCATGCTAAACAATCCCCACTTCCTTTACTCTTCTTCCCTCAGTGAGTTGGTGTGCTTCAATCCACCGAGTGTCCTCTGAATCCTTCCCACAAGGGCTTCTCCAGTTTCTACTACAGATGACACAACTGCCTCAGCTTCACTCTTGCGCCCGACCTGGGCAAGATCTCCAGTCTGAGTTCTGCTGACCTGCAAGCACTTAGTGGGACTAGGGTACCTCCTCCTGCTGTCATCTTCACAGCTGGATCTAGGAAGCATAGACCATTACAAAGATTCTGAAACACACAAACCAAGAACTGGAACTGTTTTTTTGTTTGTTTGTTTGTTTTGGTAGTGAGTCACAGATCCCAACAGATAACCTCTTCAGATAGAGAGACTAGGAGAACCCATGACTTGTGCTTCGGTCACTGCTGTGCAGAAACCACTACCCTTCAGGGGCCAGGTAGTCATGGAAGAGTGCTGAGCAGCACATCTGAGCAGTAGATAGCTCCTCTTTGGAATCTTAATCCACTTGGTTGTTTTTTAATGTTCTTTTTCTCCCTTTTGTTTTCATTACAGATGCAATTTCAAGCCAACATGGTTGATCAGGCAGAGCAGTTCCTAGATGAACCCAGGGCAGCCACGGCCTAGAGGGGAAGTTTTTTAGAAACTGCTACTGGGCTTGGCTACAGATAGCAAGGAGAGAAGGCAACACTGACTGCTCTGAAGAAGCTGACGGGGTTGCTCTGGGGGCTCAGGAAGCCATGGCTGGGGTATTCTTTTCTGGAGCCTCTTGCTCCCTTTCCTGCTCTTGTGCTTTCTGAACTGGTGCACGTGCATGAGACTGAGCCCAATCTATGGCCTCGTCTGAGAACCAGGTTCCTGATACTGTTTCTAGCCCAACAGCCTTGTCTCAATGACAGTATTCTGCTAAGCCCTTCACACAATCCCTGGAACCCAGGATTGCAGCCAGGGCACCGTTACCACCTGCCAGCCACCCCTGATGCCAGCACCCTGCTTGTTCTTCCGCATGCTCTGGGCCCCACAGGCACTCCATTGCCAGGTTCCATCCTCCCGGGCCTGTAGATCCTTCACACAGGCCACTATTCCCACTGCCTCACTCCACCTACACTTGTATCTGATGGCTTATCCTGCTCTGTCAGGGCACATGGCTTTCTCTGTTCCTTCTGAACATCTGGTGAATACCAACCCAAGTCCCCAGAGCAATTTAGCACCCCAGACCCTCTAACTCTGGTGCTGCCATTTCCGAAGATCCTTTCTGCACAAAGCAGCCCCCAATGGGAAGGGATGAGAGCACATGCCGCAGAGGTGATGCGGGCTAGATGAGAGAGGGGGTGCTGGCACCAGACAGCCCAGCCGCTGTCAGTGCTATGGACCCTGCTGCACCCCAATCTCTTCTTGCCTAACCAGCAACCTGACTTCTGCAGTAGTGATGCCCGGACCCGCCTCTGGGACAGCCAGGACAGAGCCTTTCAGTGAAGGCTGTACTTTAAGTGCTTCTGATTTTTTCCTTTGGGATAAGTTGATGACAACTAACACATTGCCCCAGGGTTCTATTTACCAACTCTGAGAGGATCTGAATTCAGAAAGACAATCTGGTACTTGGTTGTCTTGAGGATGTATTTAAATTCACGAAGAGCTGTCAAGGCCAGGTGGTGGTTTTTTTCACAGAAATAATAACTCTCATTTGCTAATTGACATGATAAACAAAGATACAGCCTCTCTTCTTCCCCCACTACCTCCAAAATTAAATTTAACAGCAATATTCTACTTCAGCAGAGAGAACAAATGGGCTGGTTACTCATTCATGGAAAACAGCAAAAATTTTCCACTGACTGTTTCTTTGAGGCATCTATTTTAAGAGATTTGATGGGGAGTCGGTTACAAGGTGAACATCCAACCTTTTAGAGAACAAGAATCAGGAGTTTCGACCCAGTGGCTGCTGATACACCCCCAAACTAGCAGAGCTTGTCTCCAGATCGCACATGCTTTACAACCCCATCCTCTGCCTGAATGTCACAGCCACCTTCACCAAAGCAATATTCTTTAGTTAAACTTAAAGTAGAAAAATATCATGAAAAGGGGCCTTGCTATTCTCTAGGTAAAAGGAGACATTTCTGTTAAGAAAAACACTGGTTCAAATAAAAGCCAAGCATTGTTTTAGGCTTGCTCCAATTTCCAAAATACTATTTAAAAAATAATTACACCCACGATTTATGCACAATGCATCAGACAGGAAGATAAAATGTGCTGCTAAATTTTAATT